GCCTCTTTGTTTTCCTGGGCTGCCAGGAAAACCACGGCAAAAAAAAAAAAAAAAAAAACCACATTGGAGAAAGAGAGCGCCAAGCGACAAACCAAACTCAAGAGTTTGATCATGCTGGACCTGATACGTCAACAGGAGACTCATCCGCAGAAATAAAGTAAATGTTAAAACATGTCAACTAATTAGCAAAGAAAACTGCCATAACGTCCGACACTAGCGTTTCAAAGCTAATGCTATATGTCTGGCAATGCTAGCCAAACATTTAAGCGCAACTACAATCACATTAAAAAACGTTTTAAAGATCGTGATTAGCTTGAAAGCTAATGCCTTAAAGTTTATGTTGACTGTCTGTGAAAACGCTAACCACAACGGAAATGAGACATTTAAGCCGGTCAAGAGTCCAATTGAAAACAAGCTAGTCACTAGCTTGTTTTCAATTGGACTCTTGACGTAGTGTTTGGAAGGATCAAGTTCTTTGACTACTTAGCGATGCAATTCAACATTAGCTCCAAAGTGAACGCCTCGAAGGTAATGCTAAACATCTGCTAAGACTAGCAACGACTTACGAGTCAATGTACCGCAATTAAGCATCTGGGCATTGACCATTAGCGGTTGGCGTTACGATCTTTAGCCCCTCACCATGCAGATCTCCGTCGCCACCAGGTAGCTGAGCCTGTTGAACCAGTCCACGTAGGCCTCCAGGTTGGCGGCCTTCTTGCGGTCACTGAAGTGGCCCTGCACCAAAAACAGCGACACAAACAGCTTCTTTAGCTTAGCATCACTAAGTGCCATCGGAAGAACAATAGAGACCAGAGTTCATTCCTTTGGGTGAAGAGTCCAATTCCACACATTCCTTTGGCCTCGCACCTCTTGTGGGGGGGGGGGCACCTGCCTTTTCATGACACCCTTCACTTGTGGGGCTCATTGGGGCGACGAGGCACGCTGGCCTGAGTCACAATGGCAACCTCGGCCACCCCTCCTCCCACTTCATTACCTCGCATCCCAAATCAGCCTGTTGCCTAGCAGCCCGACAGCCTGACCAGACAAGCGCACCCCCCCCCGCCCCCCCGGAGGAAACTGTGGTTGCTAAGCGATGCCCATGTAATCCAAGATCCTGCCGGGGCTGGAAGGAAATTGCTGGGCGAGAGCGCGCTTTTTTTTTTTCCCTTTCTATTTGTACGAGCTCGTTCTTTGGTGCGTTGGTGTCATCCGACCCCGGCGTGAACCCGAGACGGTCGCCCTGCGTTTGTGTAAACTGCACATGTGTCTGGACCACGAAAAGTGGGTCGAAGCACAGCCGCAACATTGCATAACGGATGCCATATCTGTTGACTGATTCGAGGAAAGGCTTTTTTTTGGGGGCCTTCTTTACCTTGTCGTTGTCCACCGGATCTTTCTGGACGAACGCCTGGACAAACTCCTCGGGGCCGATGTAGCTGAGTCTCTCCTGAGAAAAGGAAGGCTTAAAACATCTTTTTAACGGTATTTCGGTCCCTTCCATAAACGATTCAAAACTGGCGGTAAAACTTTTGCCACAGGTCGGCCGATTTGGGAAGTCATGGTTACTGTTATGGTTTTGGCTCTCACCAGTTCTATGTGGGTCAGCTGCTGGGCCAGGGTGAAGGGGTCGTTGCAGATGGACAGGATGTCCCTGTGGACGTGGGCTTTGGCCTTGAGGACGGTGAGGCGCTCAGCCACCGTGGCGTTGATCTTGGCCAGGGCCTCCTCGTACTGGCTGAGGACCGTCAGCCTCCGGATCAAACCTTGGCTCAGCTGGCTCGCCGCCTTCCTGTAAATCTGCCACACGAGGAGGAGGGGGGGACAAAAACGCATCCAGTCAGTCAGGCGGTTGCACCCCACCTTGGTCCTATCTATCGCAATAATGAAGAGCTCGTGCGCATGTCAAACGGTTCATGATCGTCAAGGGGTCAACATTTCCGCGCCATGAGACCGGAATGGCATCAGACAAAAGAAGTGAACGAAACCACTTCACACACTGCATCCGGTCCTTCCCCGTTTGCGTTTTGAACTGATGGCAAAGCCGCAGATCGCGAGAGAACCTCGTTCTGTGAGCGCCGACGTGTGAACCCAAAAGTGCCAAAAGAGCGGCAGCTTCTTGCAGCTTCACCGACGTCCTCGAAGTCAGTTTCGCAAGCCCCTTCCCGTCGGGGCGTAGGCGGCGGCGGCCCCGCCGGTGGACGGACGGACCGGTGGACTTCGCTGCCTCGGGGGTCAAAGAGGCTTTGCTGGCCCGGACTCTGAAGAGGCCAAGATTAGATAATCGTTCCCGCGGTGACACACTTAACTTGGTTACATAAGCAGGGGGAGCGGAAAAATAAAAAAAGGGCGGGGGCGCACATATGTTTGACTTTGTGGATTTCTCACCACCACATCCTGCCCAACTCGGAGGCCAAGTCGGGCTTCTCAAGTCTGCAAAAACAAACCCTCGCAACGACGGCAACAACAACCTCCAGCGGGGAGGAGCAGCTGCAACTTTTTTTTTTTTTTTCCTTCCAAGGGTGTGACCATGTGATGACATTTTGAGCCAATCCGACGCGCTGAGGTTGGATTCCAGCGCCGTGAAACAAAACAAATGGATGACTTTGAGCTGACCTGCGCGGAAAAGAGCCAGACTCTGCTCTTTCCCATCAAAGGCAGGAGATTTTCGTGATTCAGAGTGGGTCAAATTTCCCAAGATGGGAACTATGGGTTGGACTGGATGTGGCGGTCTGGCCGCACATCGCAGCAGATGTTCGACGGCGTATCCTCGCAAGATGCATAAAACGGCTTCCAAAGAAGTCGCCAACGGCAACAAAAGCATAAATGTGATGAGCGGGATTTGCTCCAAGCTAACTTTGAGCTTCTGGGAGAATTTCACTCTAACGTGGAGGGCATCTTTGAAAGGGCGCCTTTATTTGATTCAGATTACTTGTCTTGTGACTCACCGTGTTTTTTTTTTTTTTTTTAAAAGCTGAGTCACTTTTCCATGAACATACGATTGGAAAGAGCACATTGCAGCCAATGTGCTGATGTACTTTTTTTTTTTTTAACTACGCACATCTATATGATCACAAAATATATCTGCTCGTGTCAAAACAAAAGACAAAAGACGAGCTTGATGTCTCAGGGAATGAGAGTCCGTCTCATGACGTGGCTGTTAATGTGTCACATATTGATTTTGCGATTAAAAATGACGAGTCATGTGAAAGCTGCTCGCCAAACAATGAGGGGGGGGGGGCCCCGCCGGTGGACGGACGGACCGGTGGACTTCGCTGCCTCGGGGGTCAAAGAGGCTTTGCTGGCCCGGACTCTGAAGAGGCCAAGATTAGATAATCGTTCCCGCGGTGACACACTTAACTTGGTTACATAAGCAGGGGGAGCGGAAAAATAAAAAAAGGGCGGGGGCGCACATATGTTTGACTTTGTGGATTTCTCACCACCACATCCTGCCCAACTCGGAGGCCAAGTCGGGCTTCTCAAGTCTGCAAAAACAAACCCTCGCAACGACGGCAACAACAACCTCCAGCGGGGAGGAGCAGCTGCAACTTTTTTTTTTTTTTTCCTTCCAAGGGTGTGACCATGTGATGACATTTTGAGCCAATCCGACGCGCTGAGGTTGGATTCCAGCGCCGTGAAACAAAACAAATGGATGACTTTGAGCTGACCTGCGCGGAAAAGAGCCAGACTCTGCTCTTTCCCATCAAAGGCAGGAGATTTTCGTGATTCAGAGTGGGTCAAATTTCCCAAGATGGGAACTATGGGTTGGACTGGATGTGGCGGTCTGGCCGCACATCGCAGCAGATGTTCGACGGCGTATCCTCGCAAGATGCATAAAACGGCTTCCAAAGAAGTCGCCAACGGCAACAAAAGCATAAATGTGATGAGCGGGATTTGCTCCAAGCTAACTTTGAGCTTCTGGGAGAATTTCACTCTAACGTGGAGGGCATCTTTGAAAGGGCGCCTTTATTTGATTCAGATTACTTGTCTTGTGACTCACCGTGTTTTTTTTTTTTTTTTTAAAAGCTGAGTCACTTTTCCATGAACATACGATTGGAAAGAGCACATTGCAGCCAATGTGCTGATGTACTTTTTTTTTTTTTAACTACGCACATCTATATGATCACAAAATATATCTGCTCGTGTCAAAACAAAAGACAAAAGACGAGCTTGATGTCTCAGGGAATGAGAGTCCGTCTCATGACGTGGCTGTTAATGTGTCACATATTGATTTTGCGATTAAAAATGACGAGTCATGTGAAAGCTGCTCGCCAAACAATGAGGGGGGGGGGGGGGTCTCCTATTTTGACAGATGGACGTTTGCCTTCCCCATCTGCTCTTTACAAGCTCCTCCTGCTGCTTTATTGTTCTCATCCGACACCACCGAAACACACGCGATCAACAAACAAACGGCTCCTAGGATAGAAACGCGCAGCCACTGTGCGCCAAGCTAATTAGGAGCACAACGCTAACCGGTGACTCGATGCTCACAGGTGGCTAGCGGATGCTACTGCACCGAAGCTAGCAAAGAATATTTGTTGTATGGCTTTCAATACATTTGGCGAGCAGGCGAGCTTAGCATTAGCATCACAGATGGCTAGCAGATGCTACTGCGCTGAAGCTAGCAAAGACTACTTGTTATATGGCTTTCAATACATTTGGCGAGCAGGCTAGCTTAGCATTAGCATCACGGGTGGCTAGCGGATGCGACTGCGCTGAAGCTAGCAAAGATTATTTGTTATATGGCTTTCAATACATTTGACGAGCAGGCTAGCTTAGCGTTAGCACCCCCCCCCCCACCTCATCTCCAGTGGAGAGCCGATGCGTGAGGTCCTTCAGGCTGCGCATCATCCGATCGTCCCGGAAGTCGTAAGGGAAGGTTTCCGTCCACTCCGTCAACAGCTGGAGGATCTTTGGAGCGATCTTCCTGAGGCGTATCTGGAACGGTATCCAAGCGCCGTGAGGGTGGGGTTGGCTAAACAGGAACGGTGTCGGTCCAAGATCCCGAGTGCAGTGCCCACCTTCTCCGCTTGGGGATCGCCGAGTCGTTGCTGTTCCACGCACAGGTGGCACACTTTGGACATGAGCTCGTACGGATGGATGAAGAGGCGAGAGCTCAGCAGGAATGTGAAGATGTAGGTCCTCTGCGGGGAAAGAAACAAATCGGGTCACAAAGGGCAAAGCCGCAAGGGGAAAACGGTGGCCGTTTTTGACGGAGCCCTGGAAATGGTCAAAATGGCTTCTTCAAACCAAAATGGAAGACTTCCTGTCTGTCCCCAGGCGTGGCTTCTTGACGCTTTTTCATGGGCCGACCGAATGTCATGATGCTAAGCGAGAGCCATCAAGACGAATCATAAATATGACAAAAACGAGCCTAAAATGGCCGTCATCTTGCATCTTTTCAAGCGCGGGCTCTTGAGACTTTTTTGGTGGGTCCACACACGAGAGGCATGTCTCCCAAATGCCATGATGCGATGTGAAACCGGCTTTGGGGGCTGCATGATCAACTCCTCCAGAGGACAACTGAAAAGGATGAAAAGTAGCCACACGTGGCCGCTTCAAACTAAAAATGGCAGACCTCCTGCGTCTTTTCGGGATTGGTTGTTATGACACTTTTTTGTGGGTCAGGTCATAATATAAATGGCTCCAAAGTGGCATGTTGCTCAACGAAACCGGAGGCTGATTTTTTTTTTTTAATGATGACTGCAGTTGCATTCCAAGTTTCACAACAGCTGCTTCAAACCAAAATAGCAGACTTGCCGTGTCTTTTCGGGCAGGGCTTTTTTTTCTGGGCCTTCTTGTTGGGTCTACCAAATATGCTGCCAAATCAAACAGGCTTCGGGGGCTGAACTTTCCCCAAAAATCTTGCAATCCGATAATACTCACATCTGGATAATAGTCGACTGTGGGCAGCAGGTGCCGTATGAGGGCCTCCAAGGATCCGGATGCCAGGTTGTTGTCATGGTAGTAGAGTCCAGAATAGAGCTCCTCCTTGGCCTGGTAAAAGTTTTTGTTGTAGCCTCCGGCGCTGTGCGGTGTCTGAGGCATGTTGTTGTTGTTGTCGTCCTGCAAAAAGCAAGACAAACGAGTCAGGACCGCAGACGCTGACGCAGGACGGTCAAAAAAAAAAAAAAAGAAAGAAATGAACAGCCAGCGTGGACGATTTAGTTTGGGACGCACAGTGGACCGTGTTCAAGCGAAGGGCCTTTCGGCTTTGCTTTGTTTGGAAAACGGCGGTCTGCAAGAGCAGGAATGCCACACCAGATTACAAATCGACCACTATTACGCCTCGGAGCCGTCCAGTCAAACTGAACCCTCTACGACCTCCCCGATAAACCACAACTTCCGCAAGAAGCTTAACGAGCACCAGCTGATGCGCCAAAAAAAGGCAAAACAGACCCAAAAAAAAAAGACTCAAAACAAATGACTGTTTGCTCTTTGGCACAAGGGACCCGATAAACGCACCCGATAAAGTTTAGAGTTTTAAATAAAAGGTGACTCAAAAGTTGTTTTTGACCAGATTTGCCCCAAAATGTGGAAATCTATTTAGTTTTTTTGTTTATGGTGATGGCTAACCAAGCAAAGATGAAACCAAATCTCGCTCGTACACTTTGTCGAGAAAATTCAGAGGATGAAAATTCAAAAATCCTGATCGCTCACAGACCCAACGAACAATCCGTCTGACAGTCTTGCGTTTCATGTACGCTAACTTTAAGCACGGGTGAAATTTGCTAGCTAGATAGCTACGAGTCAAGAACCACGGGACGTAATCTGAAACATTTTCAACAACGGGTGTCCGGCTGTCTCTTTGGGCTTTGTTACGCTTTTTATCCACTGGCGCAGCAGCGATAAACCGTGTCTGTGATCCGACTATGCTAACATGCTAAATGTTAGGATGTCAACAAAGAGGCACTGTTTTGTTTTTTAACATTGCGTTCTAGTTTGTGCGAGCGTAGCTGCCACATGACATGGCAGATGTTCTCGCCGCCTGGCTCCCTTTTCTCATGGAAATGTCCCACACTCGAGGTCATGAATAGTGGAGACGCACGTGGACTTCAAGATGAGGGTGGTGTGTGCCTGTGTGAGTATGTGTGTGTGTGTGTGTGCGTGTGGGTCGGGTGTTGTTTCATCACGTTGTTGTTTGTGTTTGAAAGGATACATTGGTTGGCTTTTGAAACAAAATTCCCCTTGAATGTAAGTTTCAAACAAAAACACTCATGACTTAACACTTGCTGTGTTTTTCAGGCTTTTTGCGACATCTTTGTGGCTCTACTAGACATGTCGACCAAATTTCATGTTGCTGAGCGGACCTAAATGTGAGGGCTGCGTTTTCAAAACGTAGCCACAAAAACAAAAAAAAAAAAACAAAACTGAAAATGACCATAAAATGACACCTTCAAACCAAAAGGGTCGACATCATGTGTATTTTCAACTATGGCTTGCTGACTTTTTTGTGGGTCTTGTCATGATAGATATGTCAAACAAATGTCATGTTCCAAAGTGGAACTGACTTTGGGTGTTAGATCCCCCCTACCCCCCAAAAAAAGAAAGAAAGAAATCAAGTAATCCTGAAGTGCCCGATTCAAACAATGGCAGATTTCCTGTGTCTTCAAATCTGACACCTTGAGACCTTTTTGTTGGTTTACTCATGACAAATTTACTACATGTCATGTTTCGAGGTGAAAGTGGTTTCGGGAACGGAACTTTCCAATACACCCTAAGGACCCCTGACAGTGACGTGATTGAGCCTAAAATCCGCTTCGATTCAAAACGGCTTCCTGAGCGTTTTGGAGCACGACTTCTGGAGACTTTTTTGTGGGTCTATGAATGATAGCCACGCCTGCCAGATTTCATGTTGCTTCGTGAAACTAGATTGGACTCGACTGAATTTTCCAAAATGAAATCACCCTGAAACGCCCAAAGTGATCATAACATGACCGCTTCACCCAAATTCTTCAGAGCCTATGGCGCACTGAGGACTTTTTAGTGAGTCAACTCATAATAGACACGCCAACCAAATCTCACGCTGCCGAGTGACGCTGGCTGCGGTGGGGATGAATTTTCTTGGATCCAAATCTTTCTGGGACGAGGTCTCAGGTGTTGCATTGTTCTCTGCTTGTTTGATCCGGCCGAGTGGAGGAACCGCAAAGGGAATGTTGTGTGTGACATCACTCTGGACGGCAAACGAGAACAATCGCAAAGCGCCCGAGGCTGGATGATCTCATGTGAAGATAAAAGTGCTTTTTGGACACGCGACACCGCCTCCTTGGATTGGATCAGGTGTCGTACTTTGATCGAAGGCATCATCGAGTGGAGATCAATAGCGCCAAGAGATGACCGTAACGAAAGTCTTTGTTTGAGTCCGAAGTTACGCGGTCAAAAGAGTTTTTTTCCTTTCATCTTAAAAATGACAGAATAATGTCGCTACTTTCGTGGTCACACATAAACTGAAATGGCAGTTAAAACGAGTCAACAGGTGCTAGCTAATTAGCATGTGGCTACCAGGTGTTCGGGGGGGCTC